CTAAAAACCAGAAAAAAAAAATCCTTTGGAAGGCATCTACAAAGGCCGGAGATGATGTCTGCAATATTTTTATTTCATTTTTAAATTATATTTTTATTACCAGCAGTTTGAGCTGTCATCAGAAGAAACTTTAGATCTTACTAAGAAGAAATATCCAAGAACAAAGATGCTGAGCAGGAGTGATAACATGCTTAGCAAAGTTAGAGAACTCTGCCCTGAAAGAGAGAGGCCTGAAGCAGTAGCTTTAGCAGATAGAGGAGCCATCTGTAGCTCGGTGTGAAGCACTCCACATTGAAAGGCGATGAGCACGCAGCCACTGGAATGGAAATGTGGGGTATGTGACCACAGCTGGTTCATCCCAGAGACCCAAAGTGGCAGTCTGCACTTAAGCACCAGTACTTCTGGTAGATACAGAGGGGCCTCCCTCGACCTGTGCTACAAAGAAGGGTCTCAGGCGAAGATGCTCCACAAGGGCTGCTCCCTCAAAAGTGATCTAAAATCGGATGTCACAGCATGAAACTAACAGGAGACACAAGGCTCTGGGCAAGGGGACTCTTATAACAAATGTGTGACCATGGAATGTTCAACAAGACACCGTACACACCGATGGCTGCTATTACTAGCCTGGTGCATCTTAATTAAAGAGGCAGGATAATCTGTAATTATGCAAGGTGGCTAAATGAAACCAATCAATACAGCCTCGTCTACCAAGACACTACAACGTGATGTTTCTTTGCTTATTGCTCTGTTCTTTTATTACCACCTTGAGGAAGATGCAAGGTATTACTGGGGCAGGCTTACCAACTCACCCTTGCTCAATATTTTATGTGTATTCTAAGACAAACTGGACTAGAATATTGGGCAAATTCCTATATATACGACAAATAACCTGATTAATATCATTAAATATCATTCAGATAGCCTTGAACAAGATTGACATTTGAGTGTTATGGCAGCCTGTGGTTAACCTAAGCAGACTGTAGATTAGGCATGGTCTGCTTGACATGATATTAAGTGGCCCTTATCTATAGCAATGTGCATTCCTCCAAATTGCTGTGTTTTATAGGTGTTCTTTAGTCAGAAATTTCACTCCCCTCCCCCCTCCCAGAAGCCCTTATTATCTACTAAAACCTGATATACTGAAACATGAAGCAGCACGCTATTTCTGTGAACATAAATTAGAACAAAGAAATGCAAATAATTGATAAAGAAAGCTAAAAGTACTAATGAAACATCATGATCAGTAAGCGTTAATTGTCTACTTGTCCCAAGTAGTATATAATCAGGCAAAAATGGAACACCTGCAATACAGCAGTTCAAATTCTGCTAGGAATTTTTTTTCTGTCAGCAATAAGAAAAGGGCAAATGTGCGTGATAAATATTTCTGTCCTTTATTTTTCCATAAAGAGAAAATGGGAGACTGCGTGCCTAAGTCATAATGGACAACTTTGTATTGCAGCGATGACTACAGATGTTGCTCTCCGTAATTTGCCTTCACCATTTCCAGTTATTTTCTTCCCAGCATTTTTGAAGGAGTTGGATCCAGTGCTCATTTATCACTTAGTGTTGGCTTTTAATATTTGTAAAAGAAAGAGAAAATTCAGTGTTTTTAGAAAAAAAAAAGGCTTAGATTCGTTGCAATCTGTCTGCTTCTTAAAGATCTGCCTAATTCATGCTAGGTTTGTCAAGTTTCAAACAAATACATGGGATGAAAATTGTCTTTGCACATTGGACGCTTTGACACTGCACAAGGCAAAATAACCAATTCCAGATTTCTTAAGTTGAAAAGCAAAAACAACAACAAAACACGCACAAAAGCACTATGAAATACCAATCTGCATGATTTCATGGAATACTGATTAGCGTTTGGAATGCAAAATCAGTGTGCTAAAACCAACAGAGGAGACGTGAGGTGAGTTTGTATCTAACAGTTGATAAACAGAACTATTCATGAAGAATTGCACAGAGTAGGGCACTTCATTTCAATTCCACTGGATCTCCAGAAGGCTCGGTGTTACTCAGTATAGTGGTTTGGGAACATAATATGGAATATAAAAATGAAATCACTGCTGGCCACAACTAGAAGTGATGAAAGTTTGGTGCCGCAATAAATAACTGTATCAGCAGACCACTTAGGCAGAGTGCTCAGATGACAATGATCTGTACAAGAGACCCATCCTACAGGCTGCCTTAGCTTCTGTGTTCTGTTAAAGCACATAACAGGTGTCTTAGAACTATGGAGAGCAACGCTGTACACCTTTCAACAAAGAATACATGCCATACAGGATGAAACAGTGAAACAAATTAAGAGGTTACAGTAAATAGAGGAAATGAGCAAAGCTTTTTATACTGTGCTGCAAAGCAGTAAGAAACCAGTGTTTCCTCAGTATATGGCACTATGCACACGCATAAAAAAAGGAAAAAGGAAAAAGAAGAAATAAAAAAGAAAATAGAAAAATGAAAAAAAGAGAAAAGAAGTGTTTTTGAAGCAAGAGCATGAAATCAGAAAAATTTCAGGAAAAATACAAGACTGACATTATTTAATCAGTAATAACCTTAAGAAGCTCAAACTTATTCATCTTCCAAAGAGAATATTGAGATGCTATTTTAATGATGGTTTCACAATCCTTACAGGAAGAATAGGTATCAGACAGTAATGACACCTCTCCTAAGAAGACAAATCCATGAAAACATACAGTGTCTGGAAGCTGACATTAGCTGAATTTAATCTGGGCCTAAGGTGCATTAACCTACAAATGAAGGCCAAGAAATTTACCAAGAAAAGTGCCTGATTTTCCATTTCTTTTAATCAGATTCAACAAATAATTCTGCTGAGAATTTAGGAACTTTTTATGCTATTGAACCTGGTCTTTAGGATCCTTGTAAATGAGAGGATATACAAGTCTCATGGGAAAGATGGGAACACAGGTATCAGTGACTGAAATCCTGCATCTTTCATCATGTAAGAGATGAAACTGTATCATATAAGGTTAAATCTATTCTTCTGCAATTATATCATGCTGTGATGCTTTCTTTAAGAAATTTCCAGTGCTTGGAAAGCAAAACAGACCATCACCATAGTTATCTCACGTAAGCTGAAACACTGAAAAGTTCAAGAGAGACAAGTGACTTGCTGAGATAAAAATGACTGTCCCTTTTTGCCTTTTTCCCTGGTCCATAACAGGTGACAGTTGTTTAACTCAATGTCTTATCTCTATTTCCTTCCCCAGTGAGAAAGAGTCACTTGCTGAAGTGAAATAGCTCTCCCTGTCTGGCTAAGAACTTCTCCCTACTTAACTTCTCTCAAAGTGGGAAGTGGGAATTTTGGCCTCCAACTCACTGAAATATGGAGTTAAAAGCCAAGGGTAGACTCTATCTCTTCCTCGATGTTGGGTGGAATACAGCAAGGTCAGCAAGACAGAAAGACATTGGCTTCTTAGCAAATCACTAATTAAATATCCTTCAGAAAATCAACAATGAAGAAATTACCCTTGAAATTTGGCTTATCAGCCTTCTTATAAAGATATGTAGACAGGCAGGCTAAATTTCATGCTATTCAAAGCAAAAGTAGAGCACAAATTGCCTAGTGCAATGAATACTCTGCATTCAGACTATGATGGCCTATGTCTGAAGCATTTTAATACACTTTGGAAGATGATGTTTTCACTATAATATATGTCACTAATGTTTTATATGGCAAGTGGCGTCATACTATGAGGATCTCCTGGAATGTCCCTGCTTCCAGTTAAAAAAGTTCTCCTTCATCTCTAAATAGATTACACCTTCAGCAGGTGTTTGAAATAGGCAAAGGTCTGTAACCTCATAAAGAGGAAAAAAAGAGGATGATTGGTCAGACATGGAAAGTGTGAGGTGGTAATTATTTTCATATGACACGCGAGAGATGCTATAGCAAAGCTGACTAAAGCTGAGCATGAGTTAGCCAGTCCTCTTGAGAAGTGATGTCAGCCAACTTTTGCTTTCTCCAGAGCTATGATTAATAAACAGGGAGGATTATTACAGTAACTTACTCTTAGTGGGCAAGGAGTGACATCAACAGCAGCTGAGCAAACTGACCAAACTTAGTTGTGTGTCGTTGAGTTTTTTTGCTAGCAATGACTAACAAGGGGCTAACAGCATCCCAGGGCACAAAGAGCCCTTGGAACCGAAAGGAGGCTTCTGGTGGAGCTTTGCAATGACAACCACCATTTTGCTCTTCTGCTTTGTTTTACAGGTGAAAGACTTTTTGGCTGGCCTGCAGCAAGCGCTTAACTTTCTCTGTTCTCACAAGCAAACTCAAAACCAGTCAAAAACTACCCCTCTGCCTTTCCAACATAAATCTGTATGCATCATCTCCATTTTCTGCCTTGTCTGCCGACATGTAACAACTTTTTTTTTCGTTACTAATTCCAGAATGCCATTATAAGAGGAACTTATGTGTCCTTGGAGCATGGATTTTAACAGCAACAGCATAAAAAGTTTAGACATGAAATGTAGAATGCTGAGCATCAAGTTAATCTTGTGAAGAATGCTGTGTTTAATTACGTTTTCTTTTTCCAAACTGATAGAGACTTATAGCAACCCTGCCTGCCACTTAGCCTTTGTAAATTTGCCCTCCCTAAAATTAGACCTGGCCACCTGGAAATATTTACTAACTGAACTGAAATACTCTTGTGAAAGCACTGCCAGTGTAAATTGAATTCTTACCCCTGTAAAGTAACAGCACTCGCATTGTGCAGCCCTGAACGTAACTGTGAGGTACTCTGAGAGAAGGTCAGATACTTTGGACTCTTTCTGTCATGTTAACTTTTTCACATGAGGGGAACAGCGTTTGCACTGACAATGTAAAAGCGTATGACACCGCTTGCAACTCTGTGTTGTGTGCACTGAGAAAACAGTTCCAAACAGGAGCTAGAGGTTTGACAACATATTGCTAAAACCTTCCTGAGCTTAGCCTATTCAAATGCCCTTTCTGAACAACAAAAGGAAAGAAACAAAAGATGGAGTGTGCAAGCCAACAATTTATTTGTCCAAACACTAATAACACCGTGCTTCTCATTTTCTCATAGACATCTTGTGAGAGAAACAAAAGGGATTTTCTGAACTAAACAGTGAATAATGGTCCCAATAGTAATACGTGCAGGCTCAGCCAGAAACTGAGATGCAAAGTATACAGATATTGAAATCATAGAGACATAGAACTGTTTGAGTTGGAAGGGACCCTTAAAGGTTATCTAGTCCAACTCCCCTGCAATGGACAGGGACACTTATAGCTCAGACAGGTGCTCTGAGCCACCTCCATCCTGACCTTGAGCATCTCCAGAGATGGAGCATGGAGCACCACCTCTCTGGGCAACCCGTGCCAACGCCTCAACCACCTTCATTATAAAAACTTCTTCCTTACATACAACCTGAATCTCCTCTCTTTTAGTTTGAAACTGTTTCCCCTTGTCCTGTCACCACAGACCCTGCTGTATAGTCTGTCCCCTTCTTTCTTGTAGCCCCTCTTTAGATACCGAAAGCTGCTGTCAGGTTACCATGGAGGCTTCTCCAGGCTCCAGAAATGTTCTATCATAAAACAGTTAACCATATTCTAAACATTTTTTGTTGGAGGTTTTGCACAGCGTGGAGTGGTTTTTCCGTTCCAAAGCAGGTAGCAACATATTTTAGCCAGCAGGAAGAAGAGCTTGGAAACCATGGCAAGTTCTCCTTTCCATCCTTCCAACCATGGATTTCTTTGGAAGTCCTGGGCAGCCAACCAAGTGCTATGAGCAAACTTCCACTTTGTATCTTCCAAGTTAAAAAAGAAAGACAACAAATACCAGTTTCAACACTTACCTATACCGGAGATTAATCAGTAGATTTCTGCAAAGATTTTTGCCTGTCACGTACTGTCTGAGTACCAGGAATTCATGCTACCAGAGACCCTGATACTTTGAAGTTCAAACACATTTTAAAAGACAGGTTTAAATTTTGTGCAGTTATTACTGTATTTCAGTCCATTTTTGAATCCCAGAATATGCTTTGGAACTTTCCTTTTCCTAGAGCTATCAGATTTTCAGCTGATGACTGAAAATGTCTCCCAGCATCTCCAACTCCAAGTAATATAAAAATGTCTGTATTTGCTTGTTGAAGCAGCTTATTCTATGTGGATATTTTGTAATGAAATACAGCTTATTCTGTGTCGTACAAGCAGGTATTTCATTTCTATGAGATGGAGTGGTCAAAGGAAGCTACTGAGGTAGCTTCGTGTGGAACACTCACCTCCTGACTTTCACCTCCCTTTTCTGATTCAGATGTCCTACTGCAATTCCAGCCTCTCCTGCTGTTTCTGTTTCCAGATGGTGACATGCAGCAGGCTTCCCACAAACATTGAGACATCCAGCCATACCTGGGCAATTCAGAACAGCTTCACAGCTAGACAGCAGAAGCAGTCTTTCCCAGTGATTCAGCTTTGAGACTATGAGAAAGCAGTCTAACATATACAAAAGATGTTTTTTTAACTTTTCATCTTAACCAGAGTTTGACGTACTGTTTCAGCATCACTGGCTGAGGAAATGCTTCCAATTGGATGTGATCATAGTCAGCCAATAATCTTTGTAATAGTACTGAACTCTAATACTTTTTTTTCCTCTTAAAAACCCTCAATGAACTGACCAGAGGTGGGGGTGTGTGGAACAACTGGTGTTTGGTATATGACACTTTTTTCAGTTCCAGATTAGCAGTTCAAATCCAACCTGTGTCAGTTGTGACTAAGATGGTTATTCACAGGACTAACTTTTGTCTAGGGTAGATTTCCTGTGAAATTGATGGTGAGAGATAGGGTTTTCTAACAGATGATTCAGGGCAGGAAAAGGTAGGTTCTGCTCTGAATCACCTTCAGGAGCATTCTTCTCTTCTCTGTGGCACGGAGACAGGAGCCTCAGTCCCACATGAGGAAGCTTCTTGCATGGTCCTGCCAGTAGTCCATCTAACCCTCTTTTTCTCAAGCCAACAACAAATGCTCTGTGCAGAGAGAATGTGAGTCTGGCCACTTTCTGTGGGTCTTTCTCTTCAAACTCCCCAGCATCTGCAATTGTTGTATTAAGGATGTTAAAGGATATGTCCCTGCCTATTCCCTCTGGTAGTTATTTATGGACCTTTTTGAGTCTGCTGATACTGTCTGCCCCACAGCCTCCTGTGGCAACAAATCCCAGAAGTTCAGTCTCCATTGTGTAAGCACTGTATCTGTTTTAAATCTTTTCCTACTAGTTTCAACGAGTTCCCCCTGGTTCTAGCACTGCAGGGTTTGGTGGATAACAGTTCTACATTCACCTTATCTGCCATCTTCATGACTTTCTAAATCCCAAGTGTGCCTTCCTCAGCCTTCTCTCCAAACTGAAGAGTTTCTGCCTTTTACTCTTTTTCATTAGGCAGCTGCTCCACTACCATTACCATTTTAATGCCTCTTCTCTGACTCCACTATGTTCTTCTTGAGATGGGGAAAGCAGAACTGCACACAACATCCATGTCAGAGGTGCACCCAGGCTGTATGTACCAATGCAAAATAGTGCCTTCTGTCTTACTCTCCACACCCCTCCTGACAAAAGCACACATTCTGTTGGCTTTTCGGACTTCCACTGGTCATTGCATGGATAATTTTGGAGAACTAAGGTGCAGACACCTCTCAGCAATGCTACCCTGAGCGTCACTTCCAGACTATGTGCTGACTGGTATGAAAGGATTCCTTTTTCTCAGATCAGTCCCCACTCAGAACAAGTCACAGCATCAGGCAGCTCTGCTGAGTGTCGTGTTAGCTTGCTGGACCGTGGGGATGAACCAGCCTCTGCGAGTGGGTGAGGAAAGCTGTCCTGTGGCTCTCCCTGCTGTAATTCTCCCGTGAGCAAGCAGATTACTTTAGTATTCAAAGCTGTCAATTTGGCTCTGATCAGAGGAGCTAAATTCAGTTTAAGCGGGAAGAAAAAAGAATGAGAACTAACTACAAAATCTGCTTCATGAGAAATATCTGAACACTTCTTTGTTGTTTTTATACTTCCTAGATGCTTGGTTACTGCCTCTGAATGGACGGCTTCAAAGGAGCAATTAAAAAATGTGTGCATGGATACACAGATGAGCCCTGTTTGCACACAAAAACTTTATTCTGAGCTACCTTATGTCACCCCTTTTAGCAGGAGTCATCACGAGGGCATGACACCAATAAGCAGACAATGAATAAAGAAAATAACTGTTTATAAGTTCATCGTTGGCATACGAAAGTTATTGAAGAAGAACTGATATTCTAGGCAACTGGCCATCACTGCTGCATATCAGCCCGCTGTTCTCCCAGTGATTACAGGATGATTTTAAAGCTCATTTTAAAAGCACCTGTAAGAGATCTCTGAGCTTGGCAGGTACAATTCTGTGTGCTCTGATAAACACGCTTGCCCCATGTTTTGTGTGCACACTGAAGTCTGTAGATAAGGACGCTGGGCAAGCAGGTACTGAATTAGATGCTGTCCCTCCCACATGCACTCAAATACAAGCGTGGTGCTTCAACTACAAAACATGAAAACACATGAGAAAAGTTATTGCAAGTGGATTAGGGAATTCAGTCCAGATCTGGGGACACTACATCCACTCCAAAGGATCAGCCTCAGTGCTACCAAGGCAAATCTCAAGTGTTATTACTTCTAGTTATGGGGAAAATTCTGAAATAAGTTCTCAGAACTTAGATTTTCATCTTAATGTGGAAATTCTGACTTGTAAAAGGTACGTGTGCTTATAGGGAAGGGGGGTCAACTTAATTACATTAGCAAGCAATGTGTGTTTATTTCACTTCTCTCACTTGGCATATGTGAAACACTCTCAGAAACTTCCTAATTTCTAATGAAAATAATCACTGAACCCCATCCCTCAGAGGTTAGATGCCTGTGCTGGACGCGAGTCTGAAATGATCTTGAATGACCAAAATTAAATCTGGTGCTGGTAGTAAGGATACAGCACAGCATTGTTCACTGCATATTGCTAAAGCATATTATGTGCTTTAGCTGAACAGCATTTCAAGTTAGGGAGCTTCTGAATTTGCTGGTTAATGGTAAATTGAGATTCTCAATAAATAGACAGGTATCTGTGGTTTCTTGCTCTGTGAGAGCCAAGGCAGGCTCACAGGGCTTGAAACTGCCTCCCTTATAAGGTCACTGCTGCCTGAGGAAGAAGCATTGGTGGATACTTCCAAAGGTACCAAGGAAGTGCAAAAACACACTGGGAGCACTGACTGCACTTCATTTGACATCAGCTGAGCTTGTGCGCTTATCCACACCCTGCTTCCATCTACAGTTTCCTTCCTTCAGATCCCAAAACACTTTGAAAAACCAAGCAACTGCAATGATGTTTTTTTTTTTTTTTGCTATTCCTGATCCACTGATCTCAGTACTCCCCATCATTTTGTTTCCATTTTGCAGATGGGGAAGTTATGGACTTGTCCTAAGGGCCCAGCAATCAAGAGTAGAGCTAGAGAATCCAGACTTCCCAGGACCCCATCTAATACTCTGCTCGGAAAAGCTGTAAGCAGTCAGGCTTCTCCTTACCATCTTCACTTCTGGATATGTTGACTTTTCTGTGGTGATTTGTTCTACTGGGGATTCACAGTGGGAAAAGCTGCAGCGATGCACAAGATCAGCATGTCCTCTTCAAGGCACATGTTGGTGTCCTCAGTGTTTCACTTATGCCAGTTCTCTACCTGTCACTCTCACAAAGAGGGAATATCCATCAGTGTGGGTTGCTACGACTTTTCCCAATGGCCTGTGCACGATGACTACTTTGGAAGATTTGTCAGAGTAATCTCTTGTTGAGTTCAACTCAAAGCAAATGGCCAGCTCATGAGCTTCATTCAGTTCTCTCCCACTCATCTGCAGATTTAAAAGCACACAAAACAGTAAAAAATGCATCCCTGTCGTATAGGGAGCTAAAGCGAGATGATATTGTGCCTTTCTTACAATACAACCATTGGTATCTATGTTTTAAAGAACAAGGCAAAAAATACACGTTGATACGTGGAAGTTAAATTAAAAAAAGACTTCAGATTTTCTGTCTCTGAAGAGACAGAAAAGAGCACTCTGAGGAGGGCTACTCCAATTTACATTAACTAAACGTTCAGCTCTGCTTTTACAGAAAGAGTTGCAGGTTTTTCTGAAACCCACAGGCAATATTACTTTAAGAAGCACATCAGCTGAACAGCTTTTGCCTAAGCCTTGATTTCTAGTCTCTCTTTCCATCTCTCAATGGTTAATATTAATCTTCAAAGTCAAAGTTCAATTCAGCTGACTTCTGGTCCCACAGACAGTGTTAACTTCAGTGGCATTGAGAATTGGCTCTAAAAGCTGAAAGATAAGAGTTTGCATTCAATACGCTGTGATTAGCTGCAGTAAAAAGAATACAGAACGGAGAATTCAGAACTTGTAAGAGAAATAGACATCCATTATTCTTGACAAAACTCCACTGGTCTAAGAACAATTGTTATTAGGAATGGCTGCGATGATTCATTGTGCAACTTAATTTAGTGCAATCTAATTTTCATTATTAGCTTTAACTTACCTATAAGTGTTAAATGCTGCTTCAACTTTAGCCATAGATTTTTCACCCACCTTGATACCAAACAGGATCGGTCATCTGGGGCTTCCTCCCTGTGTGATTTAAATCACTGACATGACTCCAGTCACATCTTCAGTATCACTCAAGACACAGAGCTGCTTCTCAAGGAAAAAAAGACTACCCCAGTAATGTGACAAAAATCTGCCTATCGAGCCACCAAGGCAGGACACTAGGTTTTATGAACCACTTCATTTCATGTAGTTGTGGTTTAACTCCATTCTCTCTGCAGATTGGAGAAAATTCTCTTTGTACATAGATTTTACCCCACTGGAAATGCTTTAAACAAGAAGACACAATTTGTGTCGTTTCATCTCATACCAGTACCATCATCTGGCTTGTGTATTCGTGTCTCCTGCTTTTTGTTTTTAAGTGTGAAATGGCCACACATATGCTAAAATAGCATAGACATAAAATATCCCTTTTAAAGAAATAACTCACTGTTCAGGGATTGGAAAGGAAGATGAGTGAATTGCATAGCAGAAGATGTAGGTATAGTTCAGACAGAAAGAAAACATGCTTGCTTTTGTCAGCCAGACTGACTTTATACAAGAATCACTTCAATCAGAACATTTTTACTTATTCTGCCCCCCTGAGAAAAGTGTCATCCATTAGTATAAAAAAAAAAGGCAAGAAGTTGAAAGCTATTATTTACCCCACCCTCTAGATTGAGTTCTTATCCTCAAATGAACTTTATTTTTTGACCGGCTCACTAATTATGATTGAAAACACTGGCCCCTCCAAACAGCACAGAAGTATTAGAGTTTGCAGCAAAAAGACAAGGCTTAATTGGTCCTTATACATAAAAGCGGAAACATAAAACTTCTAAATATAAGTTTCTGGCACATCTTTTGTTGCTATTACAGTAAAATAAGGTACACCAGAGTGAAATTCCAGCTGATTTGCACAGAAATCTGTGCCAAAGTGTTTTCTAGTGACTGCTCTTCAAAGCAGGAGTGGAGGCACACAAATGCTATTGTGTGCAATTTGGAATTCCAAAATAGCCAGTAAATCACACAACCTCCACTAGGTGAATAATGAAGTGGCACCGGGCCATCCTTTTTAATGGTTTGTAGGATAAAATCCACAATTAGGAAATAAGAAGCAGGTTGCTGCTACGCTAACCTTTCTCTCTGTCCCACTCCTTTAGTTATTTCTGATTCAGCAAGGAACAGAAGCGTGCCTACAAGCCAGCTCGATAGGCTTGGTGTCACTCTGATGTTGTATGTGGTCTCAACTGGCGGCATCAGAACTGACATTAGAAATCCCAACTTCACGAAATGAACAGTGATCATCTGGGTTCTGAATCTGCTAGAAAAAAAAATAAAGGCAGAAAAAAGGAAAAAAAAAAAAAAAAAAAGAAAGAAAGCAAGAAAGAACGAAAGAAAAGAAAAAAAAAAAAAAAACCAACAAAACAGCTAAAGTCTTTCCCAAGAGCAATTGCCCTTTCTGGCAGGAAGGGGTAAAAATAGAGGCAGCTCATTAATATGGCTTGGCAGTGCTTAATGGCAGCTGGTCTGAAGAGCCAGATCAGTGGGCCTTTCCAGCAGTACTCCCGGACCGCTGCCAGCAGGTGTTGCTGTGTTCAACAAAATGAGAAGAAGTGGAGGGGTGGGGAGAAAAATATTTATAAAGAGAGAAATAGGTGTGAAAAAAAAATTAGTCACTGAGTAAAGCTTTCATTAGGCCTTTGGTAAAGCTATACACGAATTCCCCGAGGCAACAAGGAGCATGCTCTGAAATGAATAATGCTTTTCACTTCTCCTAATCTCCTTTCAGAAATTATCCTGGCTATAAATCACGCACACGGTTGCTGTGCTCTGCTTGTAGCCCTCCGGTTCTGCCACAGACCACACACCCTCCCCGGACCCCAGCCCTCAGCAGCCCCCAGCCTGATGCTTGGGTACAGAGCTCTGGTACTTGTGGGGCAGATTTTCCACTCTCTATAAAACCAAGGCAGTACAAGATCTCTTGCTGAGCGCCTGTCTGCTGCCAAATGACAGCAGTCACTGTGCCACCAGTATGTAACTAATTTCAGAGGGGCTGAGGACGCCGGTTAGAACCAAATTCAGTTTGGTCCTGAGAAAAACACAGTTCTGAGTCCTCTGTCAAAGCTTGGGTTTAGGATCCCCACAAAAGTGACTGTCCTGCACAGAAGTAGGTACGTGCATGCTCACCATTTGTTTCTTCAAGCGTGTCTCTCTCGCTGTCCTTCAAGGAGGAAAAATAAAAATAAAATGTTCTTTGCAACAACTGGAACCCTCAGTGTCAGACCGCAGAAAAAAAACGAAGGAAACCTGTTTCAAGGGGCTTCAATCCACGGCACGTTACAGCCTGAAAACTTATTATATGCATGTAAAAACTGGGAAACAAAACAACCTATCTGGTCATATGTTTCCCATTAACTCCCGATTTTTTGCTCATTCTACTAAAGCTGTTGTGTGAATAGAGCACATAGTTTGGTTGGAATCAGTGCTGCTCTGAGTACTCCCTGGTATCAGGGAGAAGAAAATTTGAAATCTTTCTTGCCTGGTCCACAGCAGTCATATTCTGAGACAGATTAAATGTGCATTACCGACAGGACATAAAAATACAATTGTAAGTACGATTCAGGCCAAGAAAAAAAAAATCTGAAGGATGGGGATTTTCTGGTAATCAGTGGGTGTTTTGAATGAGTAAAGACTGCATGATCATGCCATTTGTCATAAACGGTACCACATAAAACCAGTTATTATGTGTGTTTAAGAAAGGAGATTGATTTTCAATTTACTTGTGACCTTATGCATCTCTATTAATTTTGTACTGCCTAATTGGCATACGGTAATTTTTGAGTTTCGCTAATGTAAACTGAAATGGAAGTTGAAGTTGATTTTATTTCACCTGTAATTCATTGCAGCTTATTTTTAGATGTCTAAATAGTTTTTAATAGTGATGTAATCTGCACGTCAAGAAGCCATGAGACTTGGACATGAGCAATATGATTCATTTTTGAAGAACTTTAAAAGTATGCCTAAGTTAACAGAAGGACATATTTGTACAAAGAGTGAACTAAAAATTGTATCCTCTGCAAAAGGATTCTTAACCAGATGCATTTTCCTGAATTTGAAAATAATCCAAATTTGCAGATAGATTATCTGGTATATCCTTAGCACGATAGCAGACTCAAACAATTTGCTAACTAGTAATTAAATATCTGGCAAACACTGCATTTGAACTAAATCAGTGTTATCTACATCTAATAATATCTATATCTAGCTATGCAATAAAACAAGTTGGAGAGTGTCTTCCTGACTCATAGTGTTTGCATTCAGTCTGATTTTAAGTTCTATTCTTTAAATGGATACAGAGATCACCACTACAAGTTGAATCCACGATATTTTGTCATGCTAGACAATTAGGAGTTTCCATTAGATAATTACCAGAAGTATGTCTCATACAGGAAAAACAGTCAATTGCTGATGTAACAGGATTAACCAATCCAGCACACTGATCCGGCCCACTTACTCTTGACAGACACTATATGTGAGTGTACACACGAGAAGTACAGTATAAAGCTTCGCATTATAAGTACCACAAAGAGGAACTTCAGCAGTTCTTAATGCACAATACAGCAGTCTCCTTCTCAGAGTGAGGACTAGAGAGGTAAAACTTTAAACCAGCTTTTTTTTTCTTTTAAAACTAAAACTTTCAATTCATGTGCATGCTGTTGCATATTGCTAGGGCGATGCTGAATGAATGTATATGCAGAGCTTTGCAGCTCAGGTAATTTTATGGAAAGAATCTGAACCAGCATTTCTCTATTTATTCAAACCCTGCATTTTTAGACGTGAACATAGATGTGTGTGTGCATGCATATCTGGAAGGATGAATGAACTCTCTATCAGTGGTACCAGCAAAATCGCTTTCAGAAAACAATGCTTTTAGAAAGTTATGCTTTAGCATTAAATCTGTCATCAGCATGGCATGCAGGCATGCTACGCTATCCCTACGTGTAACAGGCTGTGAGAGGTGTACCTGTTACATTGGCAAGCAACGCACGCCGCACAGCAACAACTCAAGTGCACTGTCTGTCTTTTAAACTGAAATATGCCTATCCCTTACTTCTCATCAGACACTTTTGGGATAGATACTGTATTAGAACTATAAATAACTCCTTTAATTATGTCATCTGTTAGTACATCTAATCATGAATGCGTATTTTCATCTGAATTTTTTTTCTTTTTTTTTTTTTTTTTCCTTTGGTCCAATTAAACTTTTAGTTCTATTTCAAGCTGACTTTCAGACTTCATATAATTACAACAGACTTTGGGCTGTTCACAAGATCCAAGAAATTTAGATGTATTATAGCGAGGTTTGTGTTACAAAGATGTGTTTATAAGAATGGCTGCAGGGTTTATAATGCTGACAGACCTGTAAGTGTAACAGTATATAACAGTATAGCAACTGAGGTCAGTAAAACGCAGATGAGGGTGTACTGTGAATGCCTTCTAACAGTGAAAGACTTATAAAATACCTTAATTGAAAAGGACTTGCAATATATAACATTTGTAAAACTTGGTTGATTTTTCAATTACTTCTGTATGCTTCACTCACTCCAACTCCAATCCCTTGCCTGTCTCTCTGCCCGCGTGCCGGGAGCTATCTCACGGAAACGACAGACCTCACAGTGCTCATCTTTATAAATTACTCTTTCCCACTCAAATACAGTGGTTGATGGTAATGTACTGAAAGTGAAATGTTTGCTTGGAGGGAGGTAAGCACACCTAAGAAGACAGAGGTGTGTGTGTGAGAGAGAGAGAACGAAAGAAGGTAAATGCCAAAGAAGCAGAAGCTCTGAGAAAATCAGTAAAAGTTTAAGTCCAGTGTGAAAGAACCTCAGAAGCTCAACTCCATCAGCTGTAGTTTTCTCTGTTACAAAGTCCAAATGTGAGGGAGTTTGTTAGCTTCACCCTCGCTAAGTAAGGTGCAGCACGGAGATGCTGCTGAGGTTAGAGGCAATACGAAGCCCTAAGAGAAACTTCCCATTGCAGGGCAGAAGCCTCATCGGAATGAGCTGCTAAGGTTCTGCTGACACGGACTGGAACTCTGGCTCCTAGCAGTGCTTTAAGATTGCTTTTCACTCATTATGTCTTATTCTAATATTATGATTCTGTGGTTTAAATGAATGAAACAAAAAGTTCCTTTGAATAACAATGGGCCAAATGTAGAAGATCTTAGTCTTCACTCAGACAGAATTATTATTGGCACTGATGAGGGATTTGCTTGAGTCAGGAGCAAGTACGATTTGGCCAGATGACATGTAATATGTTCCGTCTTCAAAGCATTTTTCAGACATTACTTGATTAATCCCAAACCTAAATAGGAACTTCTAGGCACAGGCTAGCATAGCAGCAGGGATGTTTCTGGTTCCCGAGCAGTACCTTTGCATGTCACAGACCTGTGCCCTACCAGCTCCTCCTGCTCGTGCTCTCAGTGCCTGGCTTGCATTCTGCAGCTGGAGAGCGTATCAAGTATAATAGAGCCCTCCAAACAACAGGATTATTTTGCTTCTGTCAGATCTCCTGCCAGTGTTGATAACCTCCAGCATTTACAAATGAGCAGAAAAGATCTTTTTCTCTTCCGCTCAAGGCAGAATAGCGTTCTGCCCAAAATACTTTCAGCCCCTGCCGTCATCCTCATCTTGTTCACAAGCTATTTAAGATCTCCTGCTAACCCTAACAATACCAGGCAGGACAAGAGCAAGGTGCTCATTAATAAAAGGTTTCACTCTTCATTCATTCATGTTTCCTCTGTTTAGTTAAGCCAGTGATACTGTTGTAGGAATAAAACAAATGGAAAAAAAAAAAAAGAAAAGAAAAAAAAAGAGAAAAAAGGAGGGGGAATGTGACAGCCAGGAGGGAGCCAGAAGGGTCAAACTGGGAAAAAGGAAGAGTAAATTTGCAGGAATGGAGAGAGATTTTAGAGAGGAGGGCAGAAAGCCTGAGTAGTGATATTTGAAGAGAGGTGTGTGTTAGGGGAGCAATGAGCATAAGGAAGCCAGCCTGCCTGTTCCTCCCCCTTCCTAATCATAGCCTTTACTCACAGACAAAACTCCCTCCCTCTCCCATTCACTCACTCACTTTAGGCCAATCCGTCCTCTCCCTCTCTCTCCCTCTCTCTGTGTCTCTCTCCTACTCTGAGACAGAGTCAGAACTCTTCTCCCTGACAGCCACTAACATCTACAGCACTTATTGCATTCAGAGAGGGAACCTGCAAACAAAACTTCACAGAAAACTTTTGGTTCTTGTTCCAGAGAATTTGCTGAAGAGAAAGAAAAACAAACAAACAAACAAACAACACAAACCAGCCCCCAAAAAAACTGTGCGTGAAGGGGGAGGAAAAGCAGGGCCTTTTAAAAAGGGAATCACAACAACTTTTGCTGCCAGGATGTCTTTGCTTTGGAAGAGAGGATTTCTGTTGGTGATTTGCTGGATTATAGTGAGGAGTTCCCCAACCCCAGGATCCGAGGGGCACAGTTCAGTCACTGACTGTCCATCATGTGCCCTCACCACGCTCTCGAAGGATGTGCCCAGCTCACAGCCTGAGATGGTGGAAGCAGTAAAGAAGCACATACTGAACATGTTGCACTTGAGGGACAGACCTAACATCACCCAGCCTGTGCCCAAGGCAGCACTTTTAAATGCCATCAAGAAACTCCATGTGGGAAAGGTGGGAGACGATGGCTATGTGGAAATAGAGGATGATGTTGGAAGAAGAGCAGAAATGAATGAAGTTGTGGAGCAAACCTCAGAAATCATCACTTTTGCAGAATCAGGTGAGTGCTTAAAAACAAAGCTGTAAAATAGCCTGTTTGCCAGAACTGCAATTAACTTCTTTTCTTCTCTGCAGCAGTACTGCTTTCTGCGAGGTTGTGAGATGAGACCTGGGGGAAGGGAGAAGGACGAATGGGATGAGGTGGGGGGGTAGGGGGCACTCTGAAGGAATTTGATTTTTCTGATTTAGTCTTGCCTACACATTACACTTGCTAGGCACAGGCAGACACACAGGGAAGAAGCTCTTTAACCAATCTCAAGCAGAAAGTCAGGCTGCAAAGGGGTGCTCCTGACTGCTTCTGAAACCAAAGTACTTGCACTAAAGTACTGGATCGCAGTATGGTGAAAGAGAAAGGGCTCAAGGCATTTGGGGATTTTCTAAGGACAGAAAAGTGAGCTGCAAACTACTGGAGAAGCTGCCCTTTCTTTTAAAAATTATAGTGGAAGTTATAAAATCAGATGAAACAGCTTTAACTTTTAGGGCATTTTTGTTTTCTAATTTAACACAGCATCTTCGGCAATAAAGAGTTGCAGGGACTGTCAGATGACTTCAATAGAATTGGACAAGTTGCTGTAGCTGATCCAATTTGTAATGCAGACTTCTGCACGCTGTAAAGAAGAAAAAAAATTCTGCTCCTAAACTGTTTCTGCCAAAAAAAAAAAAAAAAAGCAACCTTGATAGGTTATATTTTGAACTTTTTCACAGTACTGTTTTTCCCTAGCTGTTATATAGTAAGGGCTAAGAATATAGATATTTACTAAGGCTCACATCAACTGCCTATCGGAAACAGCTTTAAAGTTGTAGTTTACTGTCTTGTTCCTACATGAATAGGACAAAAACTCATTTTAAATCAGTGTATGTGCATATGTATCTGTTTGCATATGTATGTTTATACATGCAACAATGTCATTATCCTGCAATAACTCTATCATCTAACTAACAGCAACTTTTTATGATGCTGTCTAGCCAAAGCATTTTTCCTGTTGCCAAGACAGTTTTAAAAGAATGTCATTGTTTTGTTTGGTACAGCATATGGTAGGCAAAGTATGCAAAGGAACACCAAGCATTTTTGTTTAAAAGTTTGCTGCAGCAGTATAAACAATTAAGACAACACTCAGAGTTTCCAGTCCTGAAAACCTGTTGACTCAGATGTTCTGTTTGCAGGGAAGCCGTGCATAAGAAGTGTGCATGCTTTTAAGAGCAGACATTCCTGCTGCCTGTCCAATTTCCAACTGTACAGGGAGCCCTCGCCTTTGGCGTCCTTGTCAATACGCACATTATCAGTTCCTTCAGCATGCAAGTTCAGGCTTTTTTTTTTGGCTTTTTTTTTTTTTTTTTTCATCCCCTCCACTTCAGAAAGCAGGCAGACATCAGTGCCTAGTGGTCCATAGAAGCAGGAGCGGCTCAACCTTAGTTTAGAAATGAGCTTTTAAAAGCAGTGAAACCCCTACGAGTCAGATTCCCCACCTGGTATTCAGCAGCTCGTTCTGAAACACATATGGCATGAGCAGTGGTTTCTCTCCCCTGTGTGAGTCCCAATCATTTGTAAACACATTATTGTCTCTCCTGAGCTCTCACACAAAGGAATTTGGAATTTGATATATGCCCACTCAGTACGACACCCTCCAACGGCGGCTCTTGAAGCCATTGGCTCTCAGGGCCACGTGAGCAGTGAAAATCATGCCCAAGCCCACAGGCTGGCCAATAGTTCAGCCACTGATCCCCCTGCTGCAACAACCCCACACCAGTGCATCACTGACTTTGATTCACATAGTATTGTCCCATCACTGCTAGCCAAATTCATTTAAGAAGACTTATGTTATGGAGTGTGCCTGGGACATATGCTATGTTCCTATGCCTTTCCTTCCTTGCTGTCCTCTCCAGCTCCACATCAAGCCTGCCCTGGAAGGCTACTCCAGCCCCGCATCCCATACCTGATAGGCTTTTACCTGGAAGGAGTAACCTAGAAACTGAGTTTCTAGTTTTCATGGCAATGTTAACTCCAGTCTGTAGAGAGACTTCAAACTGTTGAAACGTTTCTTATCTGCGGCTGTTCGTAGTTGGAGTCTCACTAAAACTGCTGGACCCACCGTGCCTTGCAGGTACAAGCGCTGCAATAACTTGAGCAAACTTCTCCGGGGCTCTCTCTCACTTCCCCACCAGCAGTATTGTGTCTCAAATGTTAAAGCAGTATTATTTATTCTTCTGAGGAAATTGAGGGAAAAGGATGGCAAGTGATGTGTCAGATAGGAACTATTGGGAAAAAAAGACAGGGATATAATGCAGCCACGTGAGCAGTTACCAGAGTTCACTCTGTAGAAACTGGAATAAGTTTAAAGCACCGAGGAGGAAAACTGAGTGTGTTACTCTCACAGATAGATTACAGTTCTTCCTGTTTTTAATATGAAACTTGCTCTGTCTCCAAAGAGGGGATAGGAAATCAATGAAAATGAATGGAAGCACAGTGCCTTATATCAAATAAATGTCCACGGAAAAAGAAGCAAGACTTTAGACTTTTTGCTCCTTTAAGTATAACTTGACATAGACCAGCCATTCCCCTTACCTTTCAGAAGCCATGTTTACTGCTTGCCTTAATTAAAAAAGTAGTATTTCCATTCCTTCATCAGCTGTATCCTCAGCCATACAATGAAACTGAGTGAATGAAGAGACAGTACCTTGTGCATGTGGCTCTGGCTCGAGACTGCTATTTCATAAAAGAGACTAAAATTCAGGTGAGCATAGGATACAGACAATTAGGGGAGAAACTATGTGCAGTGAACTCGTCTGAAGCACAGGTGTAGTGGCAGCCAGGAAATCAGCAAAATAGTTGGCAGGTAGTTCTCACAGCTAACAAATCCAGGCAAATCTTTGCAAAACTAATGACTGTATTGGGCAAAAGTTTGCAAATGCACCCTACTGTCCTTTGGCACTCTTACAAGTTAAACATGAAAATGATTTTCTACTTGCATATCAAACTACAATTACTAACCTCGATTAGTTCTGCTATGAGGGTAGCTGTGCCAGAGCTCTGTGGGTTCCTTCAAGGACTTAAAAATTATTTTGAGGAGAGGAGTCATATGTATTAGCGACAAACAATCCAACAGCTTCTATAACTGAGATAGCCTGCACTCATAAAATGTGGTTGTCTACTAAGCCCTTCCTTATTTTAAGTAGATAGCTGATTAAACAGACCTGGGGTTTTTCCAAGTAAATTTGATCCTGGCAACTGAACTGCCAATGAAACGGGTTGCTAACGTCAGCCCCTGGAAAGTTGATGGAATTCTGTGTAGAAACACGGAAATCCAAAGGCTTATCATTAGGTGAACTGTGAACTAGGGTTAAAAAAAAGAAAGAAAGAAAGATAGAAAGAAAGAAAAGTGTGACAGCTATTTACATTGCTTCTGCTTTTTCTACCCCTTCACACAGTTGCAGGTGAACTGCCTTGATCACGTAATACCTACTTTTATTTTCAGATATGCGTAGGTGCACACTCACAGCTTTTCCTAGGAAGATGCCTACTCCTATAAAGCCAGGCTGGCAGATCAGGAGGAGGAAAAGGATGGGCCACTCATGACTCTAAATCATTTCATCAGTTTGCTTTTGGAAGGCAGTATGTTTAACGGCATGGCTATCTGTGCCGAATGAGGAATGGCCACGAGAGGGCACAATCCAAAGGCTTTTTGCTCCATGTAGGCAACCTTCCTGCAAACTCCTATTGTACCTAACTGAATCCCGAATCCCGCAGATCTTCATGCTTATGCGTAGCTTCTCTGAGAGGAGCTCTTGTTTCTCTCTTCGCGGTTATTTAAAAGGCAGAGATTCGCTGCAGTGGAAGACTGCAAGTAAAATAATGCACTGGAGGAAAAAGTGATTAAAAACTGATTAAATGATGGAAGCTAGAAGTTCTGGAAATCTGAAAAGATAAGAAATGTTCATTATTATTTTTTACCAGATACTGTGAAATGTGACCGTGAATCATCATCTGAGCTGATTTTCTCATATCTTTTTTTAAAGTAGCTCTTAGAAAACAAGTCTCTTTCCCTCCAGTTTAGTTTTTTTTTCTCCTTTAGCATACTTTATCAAAGATTTCAAGTTTAGCAAATGAAAGCAAGTTACTTCCAGAAGAAGAATGCCATTCTCTATTAATCTGTTTCATTGTAAGGAGATGTGAGAATTCAGGGAGGCTGTTTAGCTTGAGAACAATTTGAGAAAGCATGGTTGAATCTGAGAAGGTGGGAACCAGTTTCTAAAAAGATACCTGAGAAAGGGAGAGAGTGTGAAAGTTCTGCATGGGTTCCTGTCTGTGGTTAGCCATGCATAGTGTCTGGTACACAAATGGAGCTGGAAATATATGAGTATGTATTTGCTTGTATTTGTGTGGCAGGAATATGCCAGAGAAGGCACACTTACATACCCATGTAGCTGAACCTGCACCATTGGAATGGGAATAGATTCCTACATATAGGTATGTGCATTGATGTGACCTCCGGAATGCAGGATACACCTACACTGCACACCTGTAAATCTATGCTGAGCAGTTCTTCTATCCAGTTATATCTATACGAAGATGAAACAACCACCTCCTGTCATGCAGCAGAGTTCTGCAAGATGTAATTCAGAAGTGAGCCTTAGTCTACTGAAAGTGGTTGGAAGTTTTGCTACTCACTTCCATGACCTCGTGACTCAGACCTTAACACGCAGAAATTAAGCATTTTAATGAAAAGAGGGGCAGCTTCTGGTGCATTGCACCTTAGAATTTAAAACAAAGTACCACAAGTGTGTACAAAAAAAAAAAAAAAAAAAAATCTTTTCTGAAAGGAAGAGGCTGGGTATTACTTGTATCTTGAGATATGTTATTGGTGCAAGTGACCCTGAACTTCCCTTTGGCTATTTCAGATGTGAATGTAAAAATCAAATAGCAAAAAATCTTAACCGAGCAAGCACCTTTTTTATTCCTAAATATTGAAGGCCATTTGGGGGAAGGGCTTTGAATTTGGAAGGTGCTCTAGATTGTGGATGTAAAGTGTTTCCCTCTTGACAAAATAGCAAAGGAGAGTCAAAGTTCACCAGAACTGAATTATTTGACATTCTGAATGACCTTGTCGATGCCCCTTTGGGTTAATTTATCAAGAAAAGTTAAGTAAGGTTGCTGCTGCATTTTCTTCCAGAAATGCTTGGAGAATAGTTCTTTTTCTTGTTTTTTTTCTTTATTTTTTTTTTTCCTGACAACAAAAATCCCATTTTGCTTGCAGAAAAGAGTATGTGACCATAACACTGAAGTGTTTATTTGTGTCATAATCCCCCCTCCCTTTTGTAGAGGCAACAGTCACCCGGACAGGGAGCAGGAACAAAACTGTGCAACCCAGATGACCAGTCACATACACGAGGTGTTGAATAGTTAGAATAAATCATTTGTCAGTGATCCATAGGCTGAAATGCATTCATAGAAACAGCCACGGCCTAATCGCAGTGCTAACGCATTCGTAATAATCAGCCTGCCCAGGAGATAATTGTCAGATGATAACAGTGCTAAATTCACTGAATAAATTCTGCACCGTGAACAATTCATCCAACTCCAGTGGTCACTCATTAGTAAACATTTTGAGCAATTATCTCTCAATAACCGTGCTCCTCTCTTCACTCCCTTTAGAGGAACCTTTCTAGTAACCTATTTTTTTTTTTCTTCTGTCTCCTGGGGAACGGAAATGAGAAGTGAAGAGAAGGATGCTTTTGAATGTAATTACACATTGGTACGCAGCACAAATTCCCCCAAATCTAAACATAGGCAGTAGTAAAGTTAGCAACTAAAAAAGGAAAAAAAAAAAAAAAAAAAGCTTGCTTTGTATGGAAAAACAGCTCACATACAGTATAAATATAAAAATGGTTCAAAACTAAGCAGTGGGGAAGAATGGAAATTTAAAGTAACAGCACCTTCTTCCACCCAGCATTTTTGAATGGAAAATTTAAATGCTGCATATTAAGAGAAATTAAGAATAAGTCACATGACAGCGTTAGGAAGCACAATCACTTTCATTCTGAAAAAAAAAAAACCAGCCTTAATCATTTAACAGCATGTGGCTATGGGGGAAAAAGTAATTGAAAGTGTTGGCATTTTATTCAAATGAACCAAAACCTCTAGATTGTATAGTTTAGGCCCTCCCTTGAGCACGTAGCTCGAGCTAAGCAGGCGTGACCTTGAGGCAGATTTCAAACTGCAAACCAATGGTTTTGACTACACAATTACAGCCAGTGGTCCTGCAGGAGGGATCCTTAGCTCCAGAGACTGAGCCCTCTGTGCTGCCTTGTGCCATACCCATGCTTGGCTGTGCCTGGGAGCAGCCCAAGCTTCTGGCTTGGACCCAGACAGCCCTCCTGGAGGCTCTTGTGAGTGAGGTACCCGTGCGGGCACCTCACCCACGTCTGGGTCCTAAAATGGTGTGTGAGCACTGAAGAGAAATACGTACACGAGCAAACCCTCGTGCTTACATAGTGATGCCGCACTCTTTCCATTCAGTAACTCCTTCCATTAAACTTGCACTATGTCACAGGGCTTGTGTTTTTAACTATTTTTCACGGCTTTTGCCATGTTCCTGGTGCTGCTGGGTGGTTCCATCAGTATCCCAGCCTTCTTCCTGGAAGACACTTCAGCCCTGTGTCCTCTCCAGGACATTGGGAAGCAGAGATGAAGAAAAGCAATCACGGGGGGCTCAGTGTAATCCCTCGTTTCCTTTTTCAGCTGCTTTCTTCAGCAGTAACAATCCAGCCTGTTCATTCTGCTGTTTATAGGAGTGCTGGAAGGCGTTACCACTGTTGGTCTAGGGGTCTTTCTGCAGGAAGAGCAGGATGATAAGAACATCCCTGTAAAACAGCTGTGGCAGACGAGAAGTTCAGGACAGAAGGGTAAACCAAGTGTAATTATGAAAGTGAGACCGAGCCCAATTTTCAGGAGGGTCTCCCTTTTCTTTTCAGGTAGATGAACAGCATATATCTCTAACGGTTTGAACAGGGTTGTTAACTCAGACCAGAAGGAAAAGACTGGTAAATCCCTATGCAAAATGTGGATAAAATGAAATTCAGCACAATTTTGGTCTTGGAACACCTGAATAATATACTTTATTGTAGTACAGAACCTTTTGGAAATATGAAGATCCTGTTACAAAGCGAATATGTAATCATCGTAAGCCAGATTTGGAGATCTCCATTCAATTCTAATACAGATCAAACTTGGATTTCAAAATGAGCTGGTCTGAGCTTCAGTAACCTTGCACAGACTGCAGGATTCATACCATTTGTGCTGTGTGATTGCAATACACTAATACTGATTGTGGAGTGAATTCAGAAAAGCTCAGTTTTCTTTCCATGCTTCTTGTCCCCAGCTCTGGATCATTCCCAGTCTCCTTGTAAAAAGATCTGAGAAAAGGAATGATATTTTAAATTGTTATTAAACCTTTCATTAGCTATGCAGGTATGAGGACAGAGTATTTCATACCATGCAGTAATATTAGGTTCATATCAGCTTCCTGCATCTTCTCTCTTCAGGAGCTGAATCAATCTGTGTGTGAAAATGCAGCTAACCACATCCAGGGAGTCCATTATTGTAGGTAACAACCTACAGGGAGGCTGTTATCCCTGAATAAGGACAGGTCATATGCTCCCTTGCTCTAGGTTACTTCCCTGCAGTGAAAAAATAAGTATTGCAAGTATGCTCCCATGCCTTCACTTTCTAGCATCTCTAGAAATGAGAAAAAAACAACTTTCACACTTACAGGAGCATAAGAATCATAAGAAGCGTAAGGTTTATTTTTTCATGTAACATCTGTCAGAAAGAATGACTGCATTGGTACACTTCTGGACCACTGCATTAATATGAAAGGTATGTCACTTTGTAACGATTTTCAGTTCCCATTGGAATGGAAATTACAAAATATGAAATTCCACGCATTAACAACATTAAGTTATTCAGCAACACGGGGCTCTCAAGCTTTTCTGGTCTCCTGGGCAATGCAGCTTCTTCCCCAGTCAGGCCAGCATGCGCATCCCAGCTGCCCTTGTCATAGCATATGAGAGGGCCCATTATCGGTGTCCATGTCCAGTACAGCTGGTCTACTTGTCCACGATACCTCCTAGCAAACCACAACTTCTGTCTGTGCTCATTGCTGCACCCCAGGAACATAAAAGTAAGTTTTGCATTTCTCATTGTGGCCGTGTTTGTGTGTATAGCTCTTCAGTGCCCTGGTCTGATTTGCTGTAGGGAAAGAGGAGCTCCTGGAGGAGCCCACTCCCCTCAGAAAGGGTTCATCAGCACAGTGTTAAGGAAAGAGATGTGCTTGAAATCAGCAGCTTGCTCTGTGAGACAAGGTCTGGGAGCTGAAGATGCAGGCTGGATAAGTGGCCCTCGCAGGCCACTCTGATAGACCCTCTGAAGTGCCCACTCTGATAGACCACATTCTGTACAACATCCCCATGTAGAACGCAGCCAAGCCCTAGGAGCAGGTTTGCTTTGGGCTGGCAGAATGTCACTATACACCTCCACGTGCTCCTGAACCCAGGCAGGTGGGGATTAGTGTCTAATCAGCTAACCTTTAATCCGGTGCAGCTGGCAGCTTTGCCACAGTTGCATATCCAGAATGGAAAAACTAGCGTTACCCTCTGATAGCTAACTAATGAAATTTCAGTCATTACTGAACAAATTTCATTTAAAAAAACACTACAAAATAGTGTCTCCAGTGCTCTCTAGAACTTTGTCTTTTCTACAGTCTATTTCCTTTTCTAAGTCACAGTCTCATGGGATCACCTATCTGCCTTGGAAGTTAACGGAGCTGACTTTGGAGATGTACATCAGCAAAGACTGTGAGAAGCAGTTAACACAAACCATGTGTTTTCCTATCTCGTTGACAGAACTGAGTCTACAATTTCACACTCTCATCTAGAGGGAAAACACAAACAAAACACTGTGCCCGCCCTTTGGCCACTCTAATTCACACATGCCTGTTTCTTTGACCTGGGAATGCCACCAGGGAAAGCTGAATGTGTCAGTGCCAGGACTTCGCAGAGGAGGAAGGCAACAGGTAGCTCAAGGGGCAGTAGAGCATACATACACACTGTAGAGACCGGAATAGTCTGGGAGCTCATACTGGAGGAGTTCTGAGGCAATGGGAAATGAGGGGCAGAGCCTTGCTGCCGCAAGAGCAGTTTTTACTTTATGCTTCCAACCATTTCTTCATTCACTACTTTTCCTTTCCAAGGTACAAAGTTCTGCTTCCCTGACAAGCAGAACCATTGCACAGTGAAACAGATCAACAGTTATGAGTTGTTCAAGAATCAGTGAGCAACTGATAATTATGAATATTGCTTCTGTCTAGCTAAGGTGAGATATCTGTGCATTTCAAATCCGTGACCTCTGGCCTCCATAACGAGAAAGAACAGAAGATGCTATCAGGGCCTTTCCTTTTGTTACGAAGACAGAGAAGTTCCTCTCTTAAAAAATAATATCCCTTCCCCCCTGGCAAATTCATTCTTTCTTAACTTTTTTATGCTCTAGTGATCAAATCATTAAACAGCCTTCATTATTCATTCCAAGTTCTGCCAAGGATATGAGCTCTGTATCAGAGAAACACCCCCTCACCATCATAATCATCATCATGACATCTCAGCAAGTTGATACAATTATGCCAGAGAACCATCCTCATAATTATACAGTTCTTTAGCTCATTTTTTTTCAGTGTATTCACCATTACTATAATCACTGCAAGTACAGTGTGTTAAATTAAGAACAGAAACCACAGCTAACATCTCACAGGATGAAGAGTCTGCCTGCTGCAATTCTGTAATTCTTTATGATTTAGCTGCTAGCCTCTCGAAGCTCATATTTTGGTATTTCTTTGTTTTTGAGAAAATTGACATTTACTACTCATTTTAAGATGCACATGAAGATGGTGTTTTACGGAGGGAGAAAGGACAGCCCTCACTCCCACTTCATTTTCAAAAGAATTGTCAAAGAATTGGCAGGTCTGGAACCCACTCCCCAGCTTTAGCAATTAGGCTCAGATTTGTATGTGTATGGTACATATAGTCACAGACTGTCATCACAAATATGTTTTTGCCTTTCAGCTAACAGTGATCACAAAGGCAATTCTTAGCAGCTACTGGAGCTTACTTGCCACGAAAAGCTTTGTGTAAATGAACATAAAGATCTCACTGCTAAACAAAATGCTTAAAATATGCTACTGGAAATGTGAAAATATGATCCTGAGAAACAACAGACAAACTAATAGCTTTCTAAAGAGAGGATGTGCACAAAAGAAACTGAGGAGGGGATTAGGTGAGGGAAGATTAGAACAGAAGAATCGTAAAAAACGTGGAGTCAAATAGGAAACCTAGGGAGCTCCATGCCTGCAGTGACAGAGAAGTCTAATAGAATGTAAACTGACATACTAACTAGCTCTTCCTGTCTATTTTCATTTACCAAATCAGGAACACCCAAGAAAACGTTGCACTTTGAGATTTCCAAGGAAGGCAGCGAATTATCGGTGGTCGAGCATGCTGAAGTGTGGCTCTTCTTGAAGGTCTCCAAGGCCAACCGGAGCAGGACAAAAGTCACCATCCGCCTGTTTCAACAGCAGCGGCAGCCGAAGGGCAACTCTGAAGGAGCGGAAGATATGGAGGATGGGGGGCTAAAAGGTGAAAGGAGTGAAACTCTGATTTCAGAAAAAGCAGTAGACACTCGAAAGAGCACGTGGCACATCTTTCCTGTCTCCAGCAGCGTCCAGCGACTCCTGGACCAAGGCAAGAGCTCCTTGGATGTGCGGATTGCCTGTGACTTGTGCCAAGAGACCGGGGCCAGCCTGGTGTTACTGGGCAAGAAAAAGAAAAAGGAAGATGACGGGGAAGGGAAAGAGAAGGATGCTGGAGAACTCACAGGAGAAGAAGAGAAGGAGCAATCGCATAGGCCCTTCCTAATGATGCTTGCCCGGCACTCAGAGGACCGCCAGCACAGGCGGCGGAGGCGAGGCCTGGAGTGTGATGGCAAAGTTAACATCTGCTGCAAGAAGCAGTTCTTTGTCAGCTTCAAGGACATAGGATGGAGTGACTGGATCATTGCACCTACAGGTTATCACGCTAACTACTGTGAAGGAGAGTGCCCCAGCCATATAGCAGGCACATCTGGTTCATCATTATCTTTCCACTCCACTGTAATCAACCATTACCGTATGCGGGGCCACAGCCCCTTTGCCAACCTCAAGTCGTGTTGTGTGCCCACCAAACTGCGGCCCATGTCCATGCTGTACTACGACGACGGCCAGAACATCATCAAGAAAGATATACAGAACATGATTGTGGAGGAGTGTGGCTGTTCATAGGCACGTGTGTGCACAAGACCCTTCTCTTTATGTTGAGAAGAAAGTGTTTTAAAAGCCCAAGAAGAGAAAAAACCTGGCATGATTTATAACTTTTTTGAATGAAACAATCATCTGAAATACAAAACAAAAAGAAAAAAAGAAAAAGAAAAAAAGAAAAGGAAAATTAAAGGAAAAAAAAAGAGGGAAAAGTTTTTTTTTTAAAAAAAAAGACTTATGGAGGAGAGAAAAGGAGTACAGCTATTAAGAGGAAGAAAGCTTCGTGAACCCAGGCTTGAATGAGCTGCGTTTGAATGGCGGTATGGGTTGGGGAGTTTCTCCTTCCTTTCAGTACGCTCCTTACCTTATTAGACAGTATATTAAGCATTAGTTATTACTAGAGGAGTTGCGTTCCCTCTTCTGGTTACCCATCAGTTCGAGCCTTGGTAGCAGCTCACGTAACCTGCAGCAGTTTGGACTGAGTCCAAAACGTCATTGAAATTCCTTGAAAAGCCATGTGTATGAACACTGCATTCACTGGCACTTTCCTCCCAAATTTACTGAGGAACTGAGTAGGTGTGTGGTGTTTGTGTGGATATGTATGTGTCTACGTATTTCTGTACGTATCGCTATGCATACAGGCACTACACACTTACACGCATTTACTTTGATAAAGGGACAAAATTGTGCAGGTGTACACACCTCCATCTTCTGCACTACATTTGCAAAAAAGAAAAGAGAGAAAAAAGAAAAAAAAGAGAAAAGAGAAATGAAGAAAAAAGATTTAAAAAGAACGAATGAAAGAATAAAAGTTACATTCTGTAAAGGTGCTTACAATGTTAGAACTATGCAACCTAGTTGGTTTGAAACTGTTTACCTGCAAGAGAAAGAAAAAAAAAAAAACAAAAAAAAAAAAACAAAAAAAAAAAAACCAGAAAGACTTTTTTATAAATGGAAGTAACTTGTTTAAAAAAAAAAAAAAAAACAAACATTCTTCAGTGAGAGATACTTGAAAGGAATATGTTTGTCCAGTTACTGGAGCCAAACATTTCTATATTTTGTAAAAAAAATTTTTAATCGTTTACTATTTGCACTACAATGGTGTCTGACCTGTCTAATCCTTATTTAACAAACATTTGCAAGGGAGGGTGGTTGGGTGTGGGAGGGGTTGAGAGCTGCACTTATTGTGAGCTATACAAGAACTGCTACAGCACACAAAATAGCTATTTTTATTATTATAATTATTATTATTATTTTGTACCTTAAAGCGAATAGACATATACACCAAAGACATTCGTGCGAGCCTCTAAAAAGTCTATTTGTGGTTGCTACCATTCACCTGTAATAAGTTACAGTTTGAATTAGGGGTCAGTTGGTTGATTCCATTCAGGGCAGTACATCTGCTAACCAGTTAAATTAAAATTCTACCCTAAACAGGAAATTGCAATTTGGAGTAAGCTCAGAAAAGCGCCCTGGATGCAAGGCGCTTGGATCCACAGTCCGTCTAAGCCTAATTATACTTGTTCTGCATGTACAACACTTAGACTTATCCCTGATGCACAGAAACTGCATCACTGGGAAACAATTTTATACAAGGGATATGCATATATATATGTATATATTTCTATATGTATATATGTGTGCATACACAAGGTATAAGCACTTCTGGCTTCACTTTAGCGTTCTTAAAGCAATGAATGTTTGTGTGCAAAGCACAGTACAGTACAAACTTGTTTGTTTGTTACTAGCAAGCAGGAGGGAGCACATTCAGAATGGCATTTGTGTGAGAGGAACCTCAATCGGTGGTGTACGCTACGAAAGTATCGATGCAAAACTGCAAGCAGCTTTGGGCCCTGCCCACCTTCGCCCCTGCAAATACAAAAAAAAAGAGTGGCAGTTGTGGTCGGATTTCTGCTTGAAATGCAGCCTTCAGCAAAAGGCTGGCAGTCTCAACCACCACCCTCTAGCACGACAACTCTTACTGGGTTTGCGCGTTACCTGTAAAATGTAATTTAATTTTCAGTATCAGCACCTAACCTGAAGGGTCCAACCCCTAGGGCATAGGTAGATAAGTTTTAAAAAAAAATTCTATTGCTGTCGTATTTAAAAGAATGTTAAAGTTATAACTCGTGTCTTTGAGTAGGGGAGATGAGAAGAGGGAACGGGAGAAACCTTTCGGCCCTGTTTACACTGAATTTGATAACCCTGAGCCTGAACTTTTGGACTCTCACAGGTTTGCAGGACCAAGCCCCTGTTCACTGCCTTCTGATAGGATGAGCTTTCAAAGGCCTCCCAGCAAAAGCAGCTCTAACACGGCTCCCCTCATTGCTGAGAGCACAGTTTGTAAAAACATTTAAAAAAAAAAAAAAAAAAAAGGAAAAAGGAAAAGATAGCACAATTTAACCCGGTCACATTGGCTAGGGATAGTGTGTTAGCACCTTCACGGAGGGACCCATGTCTAAGCAGTGTAATCAGGGCCTTCATTTGTCGTCAGCCAAAACTGCTTGTGTGCGTGTGGTGTGGGTGCACTCCATGTGTGTGTGTGTGTCGGTGTGTGGGTGCGTGTCCCTGTTTGTACCTAGTGATAGAAACCTTAAAACGAGGGGGAAAAAAAAGAAAAAAAGAAAAAAATCGAAAGAAAAAAAAAAGAAAAAAAAAGAAGCCCTTTCCTCAGTTGAATAGATATCAACATACATGCTTATAGCTAAGTTTTCTATCTAATTTATTCCACAGTATTTAGATTGCATAGTTCAGCTAATCGATTATACATGTATGTACTTTTTATACAGTGCATTTTTACAGACCTATTCGCAGTTTGCAAAAAAAAAAAAAAACAAAAAAAAACAAAAAAAAAAAGGACAAAAAAAAAACTTCAAAAAAATGGTAACGATTGGGTAAACACTAAATTTGTCACTAAATTATTCTGTAAAATATCAAGGCTTTCTGATTTAAATTATTTTCAGAAGGTGTATTTTTGTCTGGTTTGGTTCGGTTCGGCTAGTTGTTTGTTTTGAGGAGTTTTCTTCCTGAGGGGAGTAGGAAAAAAAAAATAATAATGCACAACTAATTTATCTTCATAACTTAAAACCAAGTTCCTGACTGTTTCATTTTAAGTAAGTAGCAGAATGGCTGTTTCGTTTTGTAGAAGGAGAGCTAGGCTCTGGAATGGCAGGAGCAGGGACATAGCCTGTGACATCTGAGGAGAGCACCTTTTATTTCACTGAGCTTTGGACCAGGACTTAAAATTAGGTGCAGATCATCTCTCCACACTCCCTAATGTCAACAGGCTCACTGACATCTCCTTGCAAGAGCAGTGACGCTGCTTATATGAGTAAAGGTTAGCCAGGCTGAACCACAGATTCCTTGTACTGTAAACAGTGTGAAGGGAGAGAATGGATTTTGAATGAGTGGTACCATATCCAACACCATTTAATTCAACTGACTGTTAAAACTATGCTGCTTGCATCATGGGTTGTTCTCTGTATGTAGTGGCGAGGGAAGCAGGTGAGATGGCTCATGTTGGCAAAAATTATTCTCAAGTGTGATTAGTTAGAGAGCATCGGAGTTCTGAAATCCCAGCACCTTCCCCAAAGGACTATGACAAAACTCCCATTGGCTGCAAATAAAGTAAGTTGAGGCTCACTGTCTCCTTGTCCAAAGCTGGCAGAGCCTTTAAAATGAAGTCTGAGTTTGATAACTTCTGTATGGTGCTCTAGGGCTGGCCCTGGAATGCACAAAACTAGCTTGAGACAATTTCCATGTGAGAAAAGAAAGGAGGATTTTACATGTGGTGAGTGTATTTCGTAATAGGTGTGCCAAAATCAGAAGAAGCTTTTGCAAAGCAAAAAGTAACTACTCTAAACCCAGCTTTTTAGCTTTCATGTGTCTATCTTATTCACAAATTGAAAAGGTTTCTCCCTCCAATCTCAGTCATGGAGTTTTGATTTGTGAGCAAAGTTATTTAAAGCAGAGGAGAGTGAAAAACTATATGGTAAAATAAGAAATTGTGGTGTTAGTCAAGACAGACTGATTCCAGCAAAACACCCTACTCCTGATAACTTGGTTTAATTACATCTGCGTGTACTTAGAAACGTAATTAGAAATTGTTGCCATATTTAAACAGTTTTCCAGGGGGATGCGGTCTCAAAAATTACTTCTCCTTTCAGGTACTACTATAGGAAAAAAAGAAAAAAAAGGCTTTTAACTACTAACACATTCCTTTCTGTATAACCCGTTTCCTGTTTATACTGAAAATGTATTTTCAGCATATATTTGATCACAGAATGTACTTGCTGAGTACCTCCGCAATCTTCTTGCTCCGGGGCTGACATTTGGTGGTCTTTCCCCCTCTCCATGTCAGATGCTCACTGTATCACACAGGCCAACAAAACTGGCAGAATTACACACTAAGGTGTTTCTTTGGGAGGGATGAATGTATTTGTATTCTCGGGGTTTAGCAAAAGGAAATGTTTACAGAAGCTTGTGATTATTCTGCACTTATATGTCACAGCAGAATACAGATCTAGGGCCCAAAACTGCAGAACTGATTGAAATGGGAGTTTTGTCATTGATTTTAATGGAAACAGTCCCCTAGCCCACCACTGCAAACTAGGACTCTGTTACAAATACCTACTTCTTTGTCTTTAGTTAAGGTTCAAGCCATCAGGTTCGTTTAACTGTGACACCACAAGGCCACACGGAGGCTAGCAGCAATATCTCTGAGTTGGAGAAATTCAGGCACCTGTAATGTCTGTGTGCAAAAGGAGAACTTTTATGGACTATCGTTACTTATGTGGAATAGTGCCTTACTCTGTAAGTAATGCTGTTGATTTCAGAGTGTCTCCTGCCCTAGAAAGTCACCGTCAGCATGAATACCATGAGAGAAATCTATTTCTGGAATGTAGGTAGAAGAGATGTGACTGAAATTAGTGATTTCCTTAAGTTAAGCCTCGTGTCAATACCATGCATCAGTATAAGGATCAGATGCTGATCACGTTCCCGACACTGAATGAACTTGACTCCCAACCTACTCTCACTGCCTTACACATGGAGCAAAAAAGTTTTCAGTTTGAGTAATGAAAATCACAATTTGACCTTTGGTGAACAATTACGAACGACATTTTCGTGGGCAGAAACAAGCAACACTTCTGAGTTATATAGCTATTTATTTTTTGAGATACGGTGAATCGGTGTTAATTATCAATGGGTTTCTTTGTATTTAAATACTTTCAAAAGCAGTACATTGACGATGGGTTGAAGATATATATATGTATGTATGTATGTATACATATAATATATATATATATCTACAATATATATATACACACACAACCATATATATGTATATACATATATATATATATAAATTATGAAAGCCAAGATATTATGAAGCCTATTTTGTTTTTATCATTTTGTGTTTTGTTGTTGATATTATTATTATTATTGTTATTATTATTATTTTGCATACTACATGCAGTGCTTTAACCAATGTCTGTTTGGCTAATGTAATTAAAGTTGTTAATTTATATGAGTACATTTCAACTATGTCAATGGTTTCTTAATATTTATTGTGTAGAAGGACTGGTATTTTTTTTTATTTACATTATGTTTAAAGAGGTAACAGTTTGATATGTTCTCATTTGTTTATATTAGAAGTTATTTATTTTCACGGCATTCCGTCTGGTATTTTGATATTTGGAAGGCATGCTACCTATACTTTGTACAGTTAGTGGGCAGTATTCAGCAGCTCCCGGTAGATCTTTAGGCCCTACGTTAAATAAAAGACCTGTTTGGGAATTTTTATTTTAGATCTTTCTTATTGGTTTGCCAGGAGCACTCAGTGCACTTACTGCCAGATACCCTGCCTGCGTGACCAATTTATTCCTGCTGTATTTACCCAGGACAGAGGACCAAAACCACCTCTGGTGTAAGTCCGGTGACTTCAGTGAAGTTACAACAGAGATGTCTTTGGCTCACCGAGAAACCGCTTGTGCAGATCAATGCAAAGAAAGGACAGAGAGAAAGTGAGAAAGAAAGAAGGAAAGAAAGAGTCTTTGCATTTGGAATGGGATTTCAACGTATTAAAAATGTTTGGGTCAGCTACTATTTTACTTGGTTCTTTTTGTTATTTTGCTCTTTCTTATACAATGACAGCAACAACACAAGTGAAATAAATAAAGGGAGTTTCACCAACCATTGCCTAATCGTCCCTTAATGCACATCCCTGGTTGGGAAATACATGGGAGTTCGAAAAACACCAGAAAAATTTAACCTTAGAGGGGAGACATATGGGTGCCTGTTCAGATGCAGCCCTATAATGCCTTTGTCTCCAGTCTGACTGTGCTAACTGTTCAGACTCTAGTACTAGGAGTAATGCAATTTTAGGCTGCCCGTTTCTTGTGAAATGCAGCCACTATGAAAACCACGGTCGGTGACAGCTTCCCTCTGCCCACCGGCCGCTAGGTCTTCAGCTGTCACCACGGTTCCCTTGAGTAATCCAGAACTAGACGCTTACACACAGAAAAGGAGAATTTGTATTTGACAAACCTGCAAGGACGTCGGCTCACGTGCACTAGTTTATAAATTGATCAGTAGCAGATGAAGTCATCAAAGAAGCCTGCTCACAGGCAGCGGTCTCTGGCCTGAGTGAGAAATCATCTGAATACCCCCGTGTTTGAAAGTAAAGCGCACTTATGAGGGATTTTTACCAGTCATTGCATTCCTAGGGTGATAAATGGACTCCTGCTACATTCCAGTGGGCTGAGAATCAGGGAACAAGAATTCTGAGGTTGATCTTTAAATGGATTATTTGCACGGTGCTCAAACACGAGCCACCACAGCCATTAGCAGGCCTTTTAATAGTCACGCACTGCAAGTTGTTTTGCAAAGGCTGGAGAAGTGAGTTTCCTTCCTCTTACTGAGAACGAGTTTTCAACAGATCAGTGCAATCACAGTTACAGGACGCCTTTGTTTCAGAGAAAATTAAGATATGATTGAATATTTGCTTTCTTTCCTTTGCTATGATCACTATTATTACTACTGCCATTAAGGATAAATCCAACTGGCTTTGGAAGCTGCACAAGCAAAATAAAATCTTGTGGGCTACTTGATTCAAACTGTTATCATATTAACCTTGTATAAATGAGGCTTACACTTCAGGTGTGAAACAGGGAGTCAGCCTTTCTGTGGCACAACATAAAGTATAACACTGGCTGGTGTAATCCAGATTTTTTCCATTTTCTCCAGCTGTTTGATATTCTTTTTATTTTAAGAATACTATTGAAAACTGTTGCTAATGCTTGAGCTTGAAATGCCCCTGCTCAAAACAACAGTGGAGAGCTAAGAGCTGCCTTTTGCATAAACCAAACGGTCTGTTAAATCCGAAATAA